ATAAATAAGACAGACAACTAGGGTTCATAATTGTAATTAAGGCAATTTGTCAAAAAGCAGACACGACTTGTATTCACTATCATTGAAGTCAGGTAGAAGCAAACGTGACATCGCTAGAAGCAGAATGACAAACGGTGATGGCTGGTATTTAGCTAAAGCCCTTGTTGTTATTACATGTTAACTTTAATATAAAGTGACATTCTGTAAAAATTCGATACGGCTTGTGAAACAATCTGTCGAAAAGTAGGTCCCCGCCGAGCTCTACTTTGCCAAGTTTTTACCAAACCCTCCCAAATTCCGCCGTATAATAATACCCGGACATAAACGTAAACACTATGTAAAACGATTAAACGAACTTAAATGGCAATCCAACCCTTGTAATAATTTCATTTTAAAGGAAGCAGAACCATTCAGAGAAAAAAATAGATCTTTAGTTTGAAAGGAATCATTGACAAGAAAGTTATGAATATTTGAAATATGTGATCACTACAGCTATGCAAATCTCATATGAGCAACTTTGTAAGCGGGTTGTGACGTAGTGAAGGATAACTCTCTTTTTGTCGTGTACACAAATATCACTAATTTTTGTTTCTCTCCCAAGTGCCTTCACTCTTGGGGCGATGCTCTACATATATTATGGAGAGTATATTATTACAGGTCCTCTAAAAAGAAAAGGCTATCCCAAGTCATACGTTTTTGAAAACTTGAAAGTTACGTCGTTTTGAAGGGAGGAAAGACATGGTAAAATTCATAGCCTTTGATGAAATAAAACATTTCGGATTCCAGAGAAATCTTTTTAAAAGTCTTTCCAGATTTGGGTCTAATATTGACTTTATTATAAAAACGCAACTGATTTTGGTAAAATTTCTCCTGTTATTATTCAATATTTAAATACTAGTTAAAACGTAAAAGTTTTCGTATAAGACAACAGATAATGCAATGTGCAAACACAAAAATGAGTCTTAACTCATTGCCTACTGGAACCGGGTGGCCCCTGTATTAAGCCTATGGCAATGAATAAATTCAGAAATCAAGGGGTTAAGTTTCACTCTCCTTTAGCTCACATGGAGTTTTTACAAACACATGACAGATGATGCTGTACGTCACTCTGTGAAACATGTTCTTAGCCTGGTAGACTGAGTTTTCATCGTCCGATTGCTGTGAGAAATACTCCATAGATGTCTCATCCTCCGATGAAAGACTCTTAAATTGCGTGTTCTAGTTTTAGTAATTAGATCGAAACCGGTCCGATTATAATGTCGGGCAGCGTTTCAGGAGACAATCGGAAGTATAAGTTCGCCGACAACCCATTTATATGGGTGTATTAAACTTAACGCATAAGAGGATGTCGGTGATCTTGTACTTATAACGGTTTCGTAAAACGACGCCCTGGTTCCCTGACCTCATTTTAGGGAGGATCGATCTCAATAATAATTGTATCCCACCTCGCCCTATCCCTCATGGAGCTCGCTGAGTGAACAGCATGGCGCCATTATGTAGAAAATCAATATCTTATTCCCCTTCATCCCAAAGACATTAATATATATTCCCCAGTTCAAAATGCATTCTGGATCCATATGAGAACTGTAGAATCACCCTTTTGCACGCAAGCAGCTAGGGACGAATAATTAAGGTGATTCAGACCAATCAAAACTTTCATGGCATTCTAGCCAATCAAGGTCCGCCTTTCATACTACGCATGACCTTAATTCTGATATGCTGATTGTAAAAAATGACGATTGTAAGAAGAAAGATGCTGATTGTAAATATGCTGATTGATATAGAAAAAAGCGTATTGTAAATGGCGCAGTTTCAACCTCTTTCTATTAAGTTGTGAAGCAAATGCACCGGGAATGAACGCCTGTCTGCCACATCATAACTCTAATCGAATTCGTAACTTCAACACTTGGTCCAACTCCAACACTTATTATACCATACCTCATCCCAATCATAATCACAACCTAAACTTTCTTTGACGACATTTAACCCGTAGCAAACGTAGCAGGAACAAATTTATGTCCCATTTCCTTTTCTTTCAATAATTTACAGTGTTTCATTTGATATAAAATGTACATGTTGACAGCGCTGGTATAAGAGATTTATTCAACAAGTATAACATTATAAAAACTTGAAATTCCTGAAAAAATGCATCGCATGTCTAGCTTAGTCTTTGAGTGAGAGTTATATTTGATGAATATGTTATCGAATTTGCATTTGTAAAACAGGAATAGGAGCAAGCTTTATTTAAGGAACCAAAATATGAATTCAAGAGCTTGTAAATGAATATAAATTATGTACATTCAGCTGTGAGTTATATCAGGGAGAAACGTTGTTGTCCCCCTGATACTAATGCATAGGATCTTTAAAACCATGACACACATGCAAAAGTATAAGATTTTAATGCAATTCGTATACAGTAAAATGCCGCTGTATAAGTTTTTCCTGGATTCGGATGCGGTTTGTAAAGAATGAATAAACTTAAATATTGTTCGAGGACCAGATAAGAGTAGTACGCGATAAAAAGTCGAAGAGAAGGATCAAAGAGAACCAAGTGTTTTAAATGATAAATTACCAAAGCATAAGATTTTTAAGCTAGAGGAAAGTCGTATATATATTATGATGAAATAAGAAGGTATATGAAGACCTGTTGGGTAAATGATTTTTTTTCTTCCAATTTTCAATTTTTCCAACTTTGTGTAGTATATGACACAAGATCACTACAAAAAACAAAAACAAACAAATCTGCATACATTGACTATTTGATTTTTGTATGTTGTTTTAATTCATTTTGGATTTATTTTGTAACAAAAATTGAAAGTTTATATCATCTTCAGTCTGAACCTTCCGTACCATGTTCTAGTAATGTTCATGTACGTAGGTTATTATATGAAAAAAGGCAAATTCAAAACCAAATAATGTACACTATGAATATGTCTCTATTCTGCTTTCTGATTGGTCGAGTTACTGCGTGCCTTTAATGGATGCTCATATAAGAGATCTATTTACCGATGTAGAAACACGAAATCGGGTGAAAGATGGAATACAGTTTGCATGCTACATGTAGCTCTTCATATGACTTTCTTGGAATTAGACCTTTGGTTGTACATGCCGTTACCTCCAGGATATAACTCTTTAGGAATTATATGCGGGGGTGTATGCAATTTGATTGATTACTCATAAACCACTTACCTACAATCAACTTAAACAGGTACCTGGTAAATGTCCTACAGCAATGTTGATATTATCCCTTTTTATTACGGGTCGGCTACATTAAACGGTAAAGACACATTGACCCACCACAAGACCACAGGTAAGTGACGATAAACTCGCAATATATTGAAAAGCTTAGGAGAGAAATGCGTCCTTGATATTTCAATTTCTTATTCATCTCTCTTTGAAAAAAGTCCTTTCTGAAACAAACTTCTTGATCACTGAAAAACTGATGAAGAATGTTTTGTTTTGCTTGTAAATGGGACGCTTTTTTCCAATAGCATTTTTAAATAAGCAGCAGATGATCATTAAATGGCTCGTGGAGTACTCAGTAGCGAAAAACTTTCCTGAAGTCTGTTCCGCGGTGAAGAAAGAGTTCCTTCTGCACCTGAGTTGCCATGGTAACAAGAATATTTATGTCAGTTGAGTAAGATCAGTAAAATATGGATAGGAATTAAACCGAGCTTAATTCATTAAGACAGCCTGACCTGTCACGTAGCAATACTTCCATACGACCTTTATCTGTCTTGGGCAGAACACCAACCTTATAACATGAGTAAGCAAACTTTGCAATATCAGCAATGACTTGAACATACGTGGAAGCATGGAAGGGTCGTGGAATGGGCCGATTACACAAATCCACTAATCCCATTCCAAAGGAGCTGTCAACCTCTATCTTAGTTTTAGATTTAAATATCTGGCTATGAGGGAGAATCATCCAAATAGATTTATTTTGTCAGATCTGTACTTTATTCCATAATTAATTAATCCATAGAAATTTGACCTATACTTTAAGCGGAATCTTGGTAGTGTCTTATACGACCACAACCTTGTTATTGGGGGCGGCGATACTGGGGTGCGGGGGGGGGTACACGTCCCCCTCAATTTGTTTAGGGTCGTCCCCCCGGATTTTTTATATAGCAAATACTGACTACAGACTGCAACACACTTTTAGGCTCCGGAGGGCCCAAGAGTGCAGCGTTTAGACTATAAATACAAATGCAAAAAAAATCTCGCTTAGTCGCTACGTTCCCTCGCATAATATCCTTAAACATTTACAGATCAACATTGTAGAAAATGTGTACTCTGTTGGTATCACGTTAGCACAGTTTACACTATGCTCTCTCGTCCGTCGCATTATGTCCTTCCCCCCCCCCCCCCTCACCCCATCCCTCCGTTTATAAAAAATAAATCGTCTACCCTGAATGTTTGCAATGTTTTGCGGTGTTTTTTTTTTTAATGAAATACGTGTACATTTCGAGACGAATATGAATGTGAACCTTTATGGATATAAATGTAAAAAATCAAGAGGGAGTTGTACCGTGTATATATGATTGTAAACCGATGCGGAAGGAGTTTCAGAGAAATGAAACGATGAGCGCTAAGCCACGAACACTGTGAATGGTTAAGCATAGTGCCTGTAACGTCGAATTAGAGTATGCTTTACCAAAATAATAGCCTTTTATTTCCTTTCAAAGAACAGTCATACGCTCTTCTCGTATTAGATTGTTCTCTAATATGCTTTATCGCTATTATGTTTTTTTTTTTCCACCTAAATATTTTGAAGGAATATATAGTATTTACAGTAGTAGGTCTCACGACTACAAGAAACCGATTTTGAATTTCAAACAATACCGTTTAAATAAATTAAAAACGTTTACTGCTAAGTGAAGAGTAATATATGAGGGTTCGAAACCATATTTCCATCAGACACGGAAAAGTCGTATACTCTTAAAATTATCCATAAAGATGTTGAAAAATAATGTTGGTTGTTTTAGACTTGCACTTACTTTTATCTTGAAGAGTTCCTTTGATCTGCGGTAGAATCCATGGTATCGTCCACAATAACAGACTGCTTGGTAAATGCAACATGATTGCACCAACAATTTTCCCATCGAATGCAGAGTTCACTTTTTAGATGATTTACACGAGATCTCTTTCACGGGTTCTTTCCAGTGGTTCTCTAGATCTAGTCCTTATTCGATCAAACTGGAAACAGAGACCCCTAGATAAATGTTTCATAGCTCCAACGGAGATGCTATAGATCCTGTGTTCTAAGGACTTTCACGGTTATAGACATGATGGTCGCGAGTGACGAGTCCAGTCAAGTTATCCCAGGTATAACATGTGACGAGGACCACAGACTAATATTACAAGAGATAAGAAATGAGCCCAAGCAGTGCACTTTCAAAAAGAGTAGAAAAGCAATGTGCAGCTATCTTCATGAACTGATCAGCTCTATAGTACGGGAATATTAGTTCGACGAACCTTGTGCTGTGTTTGGTTCAAGATCGGCGCATAAATGTAACTGGCAGGTGATGAGTTGAGTGAGCGTAATCTGAAGACAAGTCTGTCATCTTACCGTCTACGCCTGTATAGAGCATGTCTCAATAAGAAGCACCCACGATCACTGCTTGCATGCTAGCCTGCCGACGCTCACATGCTGGAAATAAACCTCACAAACGCACTCTTTCTAACGCTTCCTCTGCGCCACTAGTCACTTTCACTTTCCTTTCTTCTCTCTTTCACCCACTCATGAATTTCCTCTTTGCTTTCTGTTTATATGTTTGTCTTGAGTAGATAGTAACTTTTGAACGCCGTACTGCATGTTTGTGCCTCTCCCTGCCTCTCTCTTGATTGCACTCTCTCTCTCTCTTTCTCTCTTTCCCTCTCTCTCTCTCTCTCTCTCTCTACTTTGTCTAAATTTAGATATATAACTCTTTCTCTCTTAATTTCACCACTAACACCGCTTTTACTCCCTTTCCCAACTATAGCCTTATCTTCCCCTATGTCTCTTTTCTCCCTCGATCGCCTTTTTTTCCTACATAGCTTTAACCATGTTAAATACCCTTTTCTAACTTTTTATTGAGCATAACAATAATATTAAAGGAACTACACATACTAAATAAGGCTTTGGGCAGTTTGACGGTTTACCACAAACAAAATGAAAACAACTTTAAAACAGTAACTTACAATTGATTTTTACCACTAAACGGTATTATTAGACCTAAATATGTATCACCTTTCTTTGTATCTTTCAATTTCACTCTGTTTGGCCTTATTTATAATCGTTCGAATGCCTTTACACAAACTGACAGCTAGTTATTACTGGATACGGAGGAAATTGATCGTTTTGTTCTTCATCTGCGTTTTCCCGTTTTGTTTCCCTCCTTCGCCCCCTCCTCACTGCGTCGCATCCTCTTTTACCGGGGCATTGTAATGAATCACATCTTATCCTAGCCACTCAAAGATTGAGTACTAATCGCTTCCCTTCTTTTTAAGATCATAAAGGTTAATTAATTATGATGATGCACATGGGTCAGCTAACCCCCTGTCTTTGGGCATAAGACTGATCTACTGATTTAATCGACTCTTAAATGAATCACCTTCGGCCAAAAATTCTCAGTCAAGGTGCACATAGACTGGCTCGTATAGCAACCGTGTTTCATTTGATTATCAAAATTGTTGGATAAGTCAACTTGTTTGGACATGAGAAGAACTTGATCATATCGATGAGACCACACATCTCGTAGGTCGATTCAAATTTAGACGAGAAGAAGAAAACAAGGATAGCATCTGGTCATCTTGTCTTTTATTCTCTTGGAAATCGAATGACGAGATCGGAAATCTATTCTCGCACACGGAAGTCGAATTGACGAAAGGATTATTTCGTTTTCTCCATCGCATTTATAACCTTCCGTACAAATTTTAAATTTTTGAAATACATCCGAATAAAGGAAATACCAGTAATTCCCATTTCCTTTAGCCCTCTTCATTTGCTGTCAAGTCCCGTTTAATATCTAATTCAATAATGGCCAGATGATACTTTGATTCTTGGTTACAGTTTGAAGTCACAATGGTGTCTTAGGAGTGCAGCTAATTTTAATCTGCTGAGCTTTGTGAGGACAGTGGCACTAATCCCTTGTTTCCTGGCCGATCCATCAAGGTCGGTCAGAATGGGGTTGTGAGATGGGTCTGACAAGGAGTCAAACCACGTGCTTTGAACATTCAAAAATCGCAAAGGTTCTTATTTTAATAATTCAGTTAAACCCGTCGACCCTGACTTTAAAATCCTGTTTGCAGAGGAAGAACTTAGACGTGACACTAACTTCTTTTGTTTAACCGAATCTGGGGCATAAGTCTTAACTCAGCGTCCGGGCTTAATTTGAAAAGAATAAGGGGGAAATACAGTTAAACATGACTGTTAGAAGCACACAACTATTGTCATTTTGGATAAACTTTAATAGTGGAATTACCAATTTTCCATTACCAAGTTAACACTCTTTACTAAACCATTGGCTTATTTCACTTTAAAGAGCAAGCTTTATGTAATTCATGTTATTTGCTTCAGATAATGGCTTGTCTAAAATATTTGGGACAGTATTGACCCCCCCCCCCCTGCCCCCACCCCTTCCACGCGACCTAGGAATCCTGGATATGCCACTATTTCATCTTATTCACATTCTTAATCATTGGAAACAATGCAATCATTTCTGGCGTATGGGCATATTTGCTTCATTATTAAATTTAATTAAATTAAATGATAAACACGCACATTCAAATACCACAATAAAAAAGACGACTATTGTGCAAGGGTCATTCTCTCACTGTACTGACGCAATCATGACGTAACGATAACGTAGGTAATTCAACACAAAACTGAAATTAACTCCATCAGATTTTACAGACGCACGAACCGTAGAACGCAATGGTGTGACGTTTGTCAGTAAGCCCCCATCACACCAAACGAGTTCTCACTACGTTCTGGAAAATGTTGCCAAACTGGCTCAAACTGTATGGCCCGAATTCACAAAGGAGGTTTGTCGACAAACCGAGGTTTATGTACGACATTTTACGCGTTTTGACGCGTTTTTTACAAACCTGGTTTGTAAATAACAAAAGGAGGTTTGTCGAAACAAAAGGAGGTTTGTCGACAAACCTCCTTTGTGAATTTGGGCCATTGTGAACAGACTTAAACGTAGTAGCAACTGTTGATGATCTGTTTAATGATGTCCGACTGGCTAGAACACGAGGTAGCACTAGAATTTTGAGCCTGCTCAAAATTTGAACCGTCCTGCAATTAGACGGAATGACAACGCACTTAAAACGAGATGGACGTACTACGAACGGACTGATTGCCGTTCTATGAACGGAATTGCCTCACTTCGATCCAACTAGGAACGTGTTACAACGTGACGTGGTCGAGCATAAATTAGTAACAGTATTACGCCCCCATCATACCAAACTTGTTCTCACTATGTTTTGGAACCGTCCTAGAAATCGTAAAAAGGGTTGTTGTCAGTCAGTTCATATCAAGTTCAGATCGGTTACATATGCCATTTCCGGACGAGGAGTCATTTCCATTGCGTTAATACATACATCAATTAAAGAGCACACATTCATTTTGCTTTATTACTGAGTTAGCAATACTTGATCTTCTTTTCTTGTTTACGTACTCCTATCTCCTTCTTGAAGTTTTTAATCTTTTGATTTGTGATAACTTCCGCAAATTACCTGCTACGGATTTCGTTAACGCAGTCTTACGTCAGCCAAATGACGTCTCGTTTGCAACGAGTCGACGGCTTTTTAAATGAAATGTTTCGGAACAATGCAAATTACGTGAAATTGTGGTTCCAAAGATTCGCCTAGTCTTTATCGTAAGTGTATATTCCCTGTTAAAGTAGGACATGGCATTCGAACCAGACTACCGGCGGCTAAACGCCGGAGGAGATTCCTGCATGAGAAGTAAGGATATTCAGTGGACGACCTCAAGGGGACTTCAGAGTGCCTGGAGCGCCTCAAGGAAGGTGTAGTGAGAATGTCCCATTACGCTCGACCCGGGTAATTTCACCTGGTGATGCTATTTTTGTTACAAGGGCATGCAGTAGCTTCCTCCGATTCTTTTTTTTTCTAGAAGCAAAAACAAAAGTCGTCTGGAGAAGATAGAGGGCTGCTGAACGTACGATTTCGACGTTTCTAAGTTTCCTCCATGTCCCTCGGACGTTACGGCGAGAGACATGCATGTAGAAGCAAATTTACAAAGAGAGAGATAGAGAGAGAGTGTGTATGTGAGAGGGGGTGGGTTGACAGACAGTAGGGGGTAAAAGAGCTACATAAAGACAGAGAGGGGAGAGAGAGTCGGACAGACAGAGCAGAGAGAGAGAAATGGACGTCACAGAAGTAAAGACGGAATGAAAGAGGAAAATACTGTGAATTGTCTGTTTTAAAAAATTTAAAAGAGAAATATTGAACAATATTGTTGCTTCTTCAGAGTAGATGTCCTTTTGGAAGCAATAATCTCGCAGATTGTGAAATTTGTTTTGCCAAGCAAAGGGTCTTATTTGTGTCAACCTAAACAAATGTCTGATCAGCCAAGCTAAAAAATATGTCGTCGTTGTCGCTGTTGTTGTTGCTGTTGTTAAAGGGTCGACGGTGGGAATTCTAAGACGTAGATATTCTAACTTAAGTACTAAATATGCCTAGTAATGTAATGATACTTTTCTCATATTTTCTTATATTATTTAGATCTATGCTATGAATGTTATCATTTAGTGTCCTACATTATGATGTATGATTTCATTTCATGAAATTATGATGATGTGAATAATGAAAGCTAAACTAAACTAAACCGAAACTAAAAGTCTGATACTCATCTTGCAGAAATATCAATATTCACTTGGACATGCGGTCTATTATGATGCATTTCTCGTCTCCTTCGTGAGCTGCTCAAACCTCATCACATTAACTCTTTTTTTCCCGAAGATAATACATTTACATAATTCCATTGTTGCCTCATTGACCCACTTTAAATTTGTGATTCAATTCACCTGTTTATACGATAAGACAAATGCGTTTATTCTGCCGTGAATCATACTGGAAGTATCATCGTTACAAAGACAATAGGACAGTGCCTTCAACAGATATATGATGACACCCAGATGTCTCGCTATTTTTCCGGGGGAGGGGGATATTTTCCTCGGGGTTCGTGTCTTAAAGGGATAGTTGTCCATGGCGGGGGGGGGGGTAATTATCCAAGGGTGATTATCCAGGGGAACAGATCTATGGGTTAATTATCCGGGGAGTACTTGTCCTCGGGGTCGGTTGTCCTTGTTGAGTAATTAGTAGACCATTAGAAAAGACAAAGACGACGCCGTCGCCGCCGCCGCCGCTGTTCTTGACTTTGGCTGAGGGAAATATCGAGGAGGTTATTCAAATCAACCTTTGACGCCATTTTTGTTAATATAGCATTAAAGCAGAGAGCAATGGGTGGATCGTAATGGGTGTGGTTGCCTTTAGCCTTGTACCACGATCGTACCCTTAGACCCGAGACATTTGTATTAAGCGCTATATAAAAAATTAAACATTATTATCTTTAGAAACCGTATAAGGACATTGTATAGCACCAAAGCTCCC